AAAGCAGCTATAGTGGCTGCTTTCCACACACTGGGGTATGCTGATGGTTTCATGGGTCCATTGCTAGCCTGTGTGTGAGGCATGGTGATCCTCCCCTGGGCTGACAAGCTCCAGCATGGAGCTGCATTGCCAGAGCTCTTCCCCATTCCAATCCAGGGCTGCAAGGCAGTGCCACCCTGGGGCTTGCTGCTGCCTTTGCTACTCTCTGGGAGCCTGCTTTCCAGTTCTGGATTCCCAGCTTCAGCAATAAAAATATCCTCAGATATCCCCCACCTCGCTGTTCAGTTTGTTTTCTACGTGTCTACCCCATACAACGTGCTGTTTTCCTCTCCCTGTTGCTGCCAGCAGAGCAGTTTGTGCGTTGGCTTGTGTTGCATACATTACGGAAGTGTTTATTTGGCTTAAATTAAAAACAAAATAAAATTGGCAAGGCCTTTCGTCAGGCAGATCAGCTCCTCGGTCTGTTCCTCAGATGGGTTGCAGGTGGTGGTACAAGAGTGAGCATGAGCACAGGGGCAGTGAGGCAGGGATCCCCACCAAGACCTTTGTGTGATCCCACAATCCTCAGGAGCCAGGTCCATGGAGTTAAAAGATCAACTGGGATTTTCATTTGTTATGTTTTCTGGTTGTTGTTTTTTTTTTTTTTTTTGTGTAATTTATTTGCCTTTCATATGCACTTAGCAATGCTGTGAGCAGGTAACCTTCCCTTGCAGAGCATTGCTGGTGCTGACCGCATCTCTGAAGAGCAGAGATGGCTGACACAAACTGATGGAGGGGACTTGCGTTTCTGTGCTTAGCCACAAATTCAAGGTTGCCCTTTGTGTCCAGATATACCATAGGTTTTACAGCTGGCAATGAGAACTTGTGTAGGTTGAGCTTCCCAGATGAGACTTGTGGCTGACTGCTGGAGACAAGACCAGTGAGTCCCGTCATGGAGCTGGTTTCACATCCGTGGGCTTTGGGGTGCGCTGGCCATGATGAAAGAGTGTTCTCCTGGTATATTCTTTGGAAGAAAATGGAGAAGAAAAAACATATTAGCAAGGAAGAATAGAAGCAGCAAAATGTGGTAGGGTTTGAAAACAACACACGTGCATCTCAAACTAGATGTTGACACTATACTACATTTTACAGAGTATGAATAAATACTGCCCATACAGTGTGTGCGTGTATCTGTCAGCTTCCTCATCTGTTCTTGGCACTGATCCCAGTGCACAGTTTTTGCTCTGAAGAATTTGCACCATAACTGGAGGAGGGAAAGGGCACCAGGGCATACAGTGAATTGTCTGAGGTTGTACTGTGGAATAAAATAGCGAGCAGTGATTCCTATCCTGCCTCCAGTCCTCTGCCTGTTGGGTACCAAGATCATAATGCAGCCTTTTATGCTTACTTACAGCCAGCCCCCTGTGAAGTTCAGTGCTTTATAGGTATTCATTATTTAAGCTTTGAATTATCTCTGATAGAGGAATGTTATAATAATTGTTAATATAGATATTGTTTGAAATATAACCAGAGATAACATAGGAAAGGCAAAAGCAAGATCTAAGCCAATCAGTTCTTGGTATAATGTGATTAAATGAGGTTTAAACATGAAAGGCATTAATACAGCTTTAATGGCATGAATCGGTTTGGGTTTTTTAAGAAGCAGTTGAGGAAACAGCATAAAAGGGTGAACTCCTGGTCGTATTGAGATTGATGGGAGCTTTGCCACTGATTCGAGAGAGGCTTGAGTTCCTCTAGCCTTGCATCAGCAGTGCTGCTGAGCTGCCTGCCGTGCCAATGTCATTCTTGCTGATGCTTTCCATCCCTACTCACCGTGCAGCTTCCTCTGATGCTGGATGTGTCACTGAAGTTGTATTGCCCCAGTGCTTGGGGAAGAATGAAGATGAAGTAATGCTGCTGCCTGTATCTGGGCCTAAATGGCATCCTGATTTTTATTCATTGCTCAGTACAGGAGTCAGAGGTCCCTCTGTCTCAATCCACTTAAATAAGACTAGTCATGTGCTTAATTTCAACAACATGCTTTAGTGCTGTAGTGGTTTGGGTCTGAAGAGTCTGAATTTAGTGCAGCTCCTTTTTCTCTGCTTTTGCAATTATTGTTAAAGCTGGATCTTGCAGCCAGCACTTCTATGCTGTTGTTTTGCCTTTTGGAGAAAAAGAGAGGAATTTACTTTTGCTGTCAGCAGTGTTGCTGGCAGTTAGATTGGCCAGTGCCAGACTTGGCAGTGCACATCTGCTGTGACAGAGTGGGCCAAGTGAAGGGGATCCAGAACTCTCCTGCTGCTTCTAGGTGTCTGCAGTTAATTTGGGGCAAGATAGAGGAGTCACCTCTGAGGCACATCTGCTTCTGCTGTAGATCTGATCCTGCAGGCTTTCTGCATGCACAGCTTCTCCTGGAAATTATGAGAATGCAGGGCTACAAGATTGGTTCTATCGTGACAATTTCCTGGCAGAAAGAAAAGACAGAAACTATTTTTAAATGAAAGCTTTGAATCAGAAGAATATTGCAGAGTGCAGCAAAAAATCGCGTTAAACCCCTGAAATCATGGACTCGGCAGTTTTCTCATGCCAGCGGTTTTCTTCTCTCCATGGTTTTAAGGCTGTGATTTTCGAGGACTGGGCTGAGCATTTTTCAACGAGACATTTCTATTCTCTCTGGTGCACGTTATCACAGCAGCATCATCATTTTCTGCATGAGTCAGATTAGAGGGGGGTGATATGTGCTGTGGTGTGTTCACAGGAATGGGGCTTTGCAGAAAAACCTGTAGCTCTGCCTTGCGCACAGTCAAAATCATACCTCTGTAAGTTTGCCCAGGAGTTCATTATTGAGCTTTTATTTTTTTTCCCCCAGATTTGGTTTTATGTTCCTACCTTGGGTACATTTTTAACTTTTCCTTCCAAGTTTCACTGCTCAGTGGTCACCTGGGAAAAGCAAATAAGAGAAAGTGTGTGACTTCTTCTTAACACTGGGAAATTATGTCCTCTTTTCCCCATCACTCCGTTTTGTATAGCTTAAGAATGACCCAAAGGGCTCTTGCTCAGGTTTTCATTTAAAACAAACCATCTGATTTGATCTGAGATCATTATTTTCCCCTAAAGCACTCTCAGAGTGAGCTGAAAGTGTGAAAAAAGACAGTTTATAATCGCAATTGTTTCCTTGCCTTTGATAGAGTGGTCACTAGTCAACAGAGGTAAAATTCACTGCCTCGGAGGGAGGCACTTTAGTTAATTAGTTACCATCAGTACTGTGCTAAGAGACTTCACTGCTGCTTTCCCATATATATCTGCCTGCTCATCTCACTTGCTGGCTTTACTGATCCTGGTCTGCATACTGCCTGTGGTTTCCCATACCCACCCTGCGAGGAAGCACCCGGAACCATTTCAGTAGATGGGAGACAACAAGCTTCATTCTCTAGGGCCATTTTAGAATCATAGAATCACAGAATGGTTTAGGTTGGAGAGAATGCTTAAGATCATCCAGTTCCAACCCCCCTGCCATGGACAGGGACACCTTACACTAGACCAGGTTACTCAAGGCTCTGTCCAACCTGGCCTTGAACACTGCCAGGGATGCAGCGTTCACAGCTTCCCTGGGCAACCCATTCCAGTGCCTCACCACCCTCACAGTAAAAAGCTTCTTCATAATATCTAACCTGAACTTCCTCTCCTTCAGTTTTAACCCGTTACCCTTTTTCCTACCACTACAGACCCTAATGAAGAGTCCCTCCCCAGCATCCTTGTAGGCCCCCTTCAGATACTGGAAGGCTGCTATGAGGTCTCCATGCAGCCTTCTCTTCTCCAGGCTGAACAGCCCCAACTTTCTCAGCCTGTCTTCATATGGGAGGTGCTCCAGTCCCTGATCATTCTCGTGGCCCTCCTCTGGACTTGTTCCAACAGTTCCATGTCCTTTTTATGTTGAGGACACCAGAACTGCACACAATACTCCAGGTGAGGTCTCACGAGAGCAGAGTGAAGGGGCAGGATCACCTCCTTCGACCTGCTGGTCACGCTCCTTTTGATGCAGCCCAGGATACAGTTGGCTTTTTGGGCTGCAAGCGCACACTGAAGCCGGCTCATGTTCATTTTCTCATCGACCAGCACCCCCAAGTCCTTCTCTGCAGGGCTGCTCTGAATCTCTTCTCTGCCCAGCCTGTAGCTGTGCCTGGGATTGCTCCAACCCAGGTGTAGGACCTTGCACTTGGCATGGTTAAACTTCATGAGGTTGGCATCAGCCCACCTCACAAGCGTGTCAAGGTCCCTCTGGATGGCATTCCTTCCCTCCAGCGTATCAACCGAACCACACAGCTTGGTGTCATCGGCAAACTTGCTGAGGGTGCACTCAGTCCCATTTTCTGTGCTCTGGAAACCTTAGGGGCTGGGTGAGCCTACTTCACAGGTCTTGCTCTTCTGCTAACGTGAAGCTTTCCTGTGCTTTCAAATTGTAGTTTTGGTTGCATGTTTCTGGTGCTGTCTTTTAGGAATTCCCCCCCCCTTTTTTTGTTCACCCACATGCCCCTTTGCACTCTCCCTTAGTGCTCAGTGCGTTACCTGACTGCCTCCTTCCTCCTTTCAAGGGGCTGGATTTCCCTGCCACTCTCTAACCAGGAGCATGCAGCTTTTGGTGCCACTCTGCATTGTTCTCACTGGTCATTTCTGGGGGGCTGTGGATGAGGTAGCTGTGTCCCATGCCCTGGCGTACCATCTCTTCTGGAGTGCTGAAGATGGCATTGCATACACACCATGTTTGCAGGAAAACATCTTCTGCAAACCTTTGGGAACTTAGGGAACCAGCACCTTGGCTTTGTCACACCACACCATGTAAACCACCAGTTGAAGTCCATCCTGGTGATGAGCAATGCATCGGATCCTGTCCTACCCTTTGCCATTTGCATATGTGAGGTTAAACAGAAGGGATAACCAACCCAGCATGTCTTTTGGTTTGAAAACTCAGGGGAGAGGCAGCTGAAAAGCCTAGCATTCACCCAGCTTCTGCTTCTTTCCAGGCGACCTGGTGTCTCGAGCGATGCACCACCTCCAGCCTCTCAACGCCAAGCAGCACGGGAACGGGACACCAATGCACCAGAAGCAGGGATCGTTCTATTGGGAGCCAGAGGCTCTGTACACCCTCTGCTACTTCATGCACTGTCCACAGATGGAGTGGGAAAACCCTAATGTGGAGCCGTCAAAAGTCACGCTGCAGACCGAGAGGTAAGAGCACTTAAATGTCGTGGTGAAGACCTTTTGTTAATAAATCAGCTTGGCTAGGTAACTGCTAATTACAGCTGGCATGTGAGAGGCTGCGGAGCAGTCTGGTTTGGTTTAGGATCACCTCTTTGAAATCTGTTTCTCTCACCGAAGCGCTGCGTGGCTAAACCAATATATATCAAAAGTGACACCCAGTGGCTGCATACAGCAAATTGGTTCCAGATGTGCACTCGGGAGAGATTTCCTTTTCCTTTTGTTGTTGCTCAGCTATTCTGTGTTTTGGAAAAGAAAATGAGAACTTCTATTTCTGGCTTAGCAGGTTTGGGTTTAAATGTGTTTTTTCTGTGCGTTAATAGGGCTCAACAGCTGCGACTTGGGAAGTGGAAAATGAATAGAGTAGTGTGTGGAAAGGAGAGGTCATTAAAAGATGCTGGGCTCCAGCCACGCCGAGTACCCAGGCACAGGAGTAACCTGGGGAATGTCCTGGGCAGTGATGTGGCAGGCTCCAGTTGTGCTGCTGTTGTCCCCACTCCATGGATGGCCAGGGATGTTGAGGCATGCTTGAGGCCCCATCGGTCTCAGGGTTTGCTCTAAGTTGAGAAGAGTATGCAACTGAAGTCAGTGATGGGGTTACCAACACCAGCAGGCAGGCAATGTGCCCAGCACAGGGCAGCTCTTCACCCAAGTGCTGTAGAAAGCAACCAGGACAGCCTGCTGGCCTGGAAAATAAAGCCATCTCCTGTCAGAAGCCCAGCAAGCCCTCTGCTAATGCAAGCCTCTGCTTGTGTGCTGAGAGGCACAGGATCACAGAATAGTTTGGGTTGGAAGGGACTTTCAAAACTCATTTAGTCCAACCCCCTGCAATGAGCGGGGACATCTTCAGCTAGATCAGGTTGCCCACAACCACACTGATGCTGTGCTATTTCCCTGCCATGGTTCTCCCCAGCTCTAAACCAGGCTTCCCCAGTACCAAGATGAGAGGACCAGCAGGTGCTTGGGGAGTGCTGGGTATGCATTTTGAGGATGGGTATCATGGTGACGCAGATGGAAGCTGTTTTTTCAAACTGGGCTCCAGATTTACATCCCAGTACATACATTGCACTGTACATGTGTGCCAAACTGTCATCTGCATGTATGCCCTGAGAACTGCGCATATAGGGTTTGGTTATTGTTTCAGTATGAGGTCTGCATCTCAAAACCAGCATTTGAGAATCTAATCATATGTGTAATTATAAATGGTATATAATATGGTGTCTTCATTGAAATACTTTTGTTTTGATTCACAGAAAAGCATACAAGATGAAATTCTGGCATTAATGATGTTATTGGGAATTCTGCCATTTGCCTTTGGATAGCATTTTGTTTCTTTTCAAGTTTGGGTCGCTCCGTGGGCATGTTTGTTGCTTTTTGCTCTATTGTTCCCGAAGTATGAAAGAATCCAGAATTCTCTCTTTTTTCCAGATTATTTTTAATTTCATGGTTTGTCATGCAGCCTTGTTATTGCAGAAGGCAAAAATTTGTGTCCAAGAGTGGTCAGTATGCACAAAAGATAACCAAAATTAGAAAATGCCCTCATTTGATCTATAGTCCCCATCCAGTGGGAATATATATAAAAGTGAATAGTACTGAGGCTCTGGTTTTGTAAGATTTCAGCAGATTTCTCTGTGGAAAGTGAAAAGGGCAGGGGGATATTTGAAAAATCACTTTTAACATTTGCTTTAATAGGTTTTCCTTTCTCTGAGGTCACCTTTATGCATGTTCTCTTGGTTAGAGCAGTTGAACGGGTGACTAGTTAAAGTGATTGTTCTTCTTTCCTTTATTTTGAATACTCCATCTGGCAAGACGTCTTCCTTTGGCAGGGCACTTGAACAACTGCGGTGTGTGGTTAGGGCCAGAGCAAGTACTTGGTGTTATTGCCAAGAGCTTGTGGCCACTTTTGGAAGGAGCAGATATCTCTGCTGTTGCCTAATCAAGCATGCGTTAGTGCTGGAATGGGGGTGATGCAGGGTTAAGCATGAGCCTGGATATTTCCATGGGGTTGTGCTCTGGAGCTTTACCAGCTGGATGTAACCATCCTGTGCTGCAGAAAGGAGAGTGGTGAAGCTGACTTCTCTTTAGTGCTGTGAGGAGCATTCCTACCCATTTCCCATATTTATTGTTTTTTTACATGCAAGCATGCTTTGTGGTCCATTACTTATTTATGATGGTTTTGGTTTCCATAATAGTTTTTGTGCGTTGCAGGGAAGTGGGTTTGTTAAACATGACTTTTTCATATGCAGAATATTTGCCAACTTTGTGCCATAGCTATATGTTGTATTCTGTCCCTTCTTCTCCAGCTGTGTCAGTTGGTTTTATGTTGAAAGAAGCCCAGAAGGAAGCAAAGAGGTCCAGGCATCTTTCCCCACCCTTGGCCTCTCTGTATCCCTGCTGGTGCAGAGAAGCCAGGAATACACGGATCTGATTGTAGGCAGTATTCCCATGAAATGGGGATTGTTTGTGGCTTATATGAAGCCAAACTGGCTGCTGTCTTGGCTCCCTCCTCTCTGACCATGCATGCCCGGGGTTGAGAGTGTTGTGGGATGCAGCCAGAGAGCTTCCCCACTGCTTGCAGGGCTTGGCTGGCCCCATAAGAGCTGTTGCTGTATTTCCCACCCATTTCCAGCCCACTGGACTGCAGTTTTGAACGAGGTTGACTTAGGAGGCTGCAAAGGCTCTGCGTGTCCTTTGGTGGAGGCTGGATATGGGAGGGAAGCTGGTGTGGCAGTGATCCTGTCTGGCTTAGCACTTTCCAGCACAGAGAGTGGTGCCTCCTTCAAAGTCTTGGGGGACACATAAATGGGATGTTTGCATTTGAATAAATCTGGCTCTTTTTTTTTCTAGGGAGTGTTTCTTTGTGTTTGCTCTTCATGGAGGGAAAGAAATGAGGTTGCGGTGTATTTTTAATAGTGTTTGTCTTTACATAAAATGATAGGGAAAACTGATTATACACTGAGGCTCTTGCTTGGGGGGGCTCCTTTCATGGGAGGCAAAGGAGGTGGAAAGTGGCCAGGATTGCTCAGAAAACCTGGAAAATATTCTCTACTTCCTAAGTGCCAACAAACTCAACCATAAGATGGATGTGTGACATCCTGCTACCCAAAATTTATATTCTTCTTTCAATCTGGTCACTTTGGAAGAAACACTCTGATCTTTTGGTTGTGTTGCGGCACCAACACAAGGTAGTCCTGCTGGGGTGGGTTATCTAATGGCCCCAGGTACCATGTAGGTAGCTATTCTGGTAGCATGGAGTTACAGGCAGGGGTTTGGACCAGTCTGTGGAGAATGTAGACAGCTATTTTAGCAGGCATGAAGGTACAGGAGCGTGTGGGGTAGACTTGTTTGTGGGGTTCTCCTTTCCAGGCATGATGTGATGGAGGCATTTCTCTTTGTGCCAGGTATTGTCTGCAAAAGTGCTGCTCCCTCCACCTGCAGGCAGCTGTTTTCTTTATTCACTTTCCCTGGAATTAAAAATAAAGGAATTGTAGATGAAGCCACTTTTGCCAAGATATCTTTCTCGCTTGCTGCTTCTGGTTTAATAAAAGGATCTGTCTCGTGGTTGCGTTTTGCTTCCCAGCCTCTATAACACTTCCAAAATTATGGCAAGTAATTTCTTAAGGACCGGAAAGCGCAAATCTGTAGCTGCAGATTTGTGTGATGTTTTTTTCTGTAAGTGGTTCCTTACCCACTTTTATCCACAGCTATATTGACAGAGTCCTCATTACTTCCTAACTCTCCATGTTCCCCATTAACAACTCATTGAGAAGCAGCAGCTCAGCCGGTCCAGAACCACTCATTAATTCTGCACACAGGCAGCAAAGTTCCTTCTCCACCGCTTCCTCTGCTGCTCCACCTTGGAGGAGCATTAACTCCCTGTACTACTCCAGTGCTTCCTCTGCCACTCTGCTTTGGGGGAGCATTAACTCTCTGTACCACCCCACAGCTTTTAGCTTTTCTCCTCAAATCTTCATTGAGTTGATGGGGATGTGTCTGGTTCTAACCTTTGTTTCACTTTTCCCTCGCTACTTTTGCCTTTATGTGGAGCAATCCCTTAGGAAACTCCCATGGGCAATTGCTTGCTTTTTATTTTTGTGCCTGCCTTGCATCTGGACACACACAAAAATATACATGTCCCTTATGCATGCACGCATGCAAATTATAGCCTGTAGTCACTGATGATTAACGGGAAGGTTTGGGGTTACTGTCTGAATTTTGGTTCATGCTTTGGATACTTATTAGTGTACCTGGTTAATTAATGTGAGGAGTGTTCCACTACTATAAAATAACTTGAACCCTTTCAAAGCATCTTCATAACTGGTACATGTCTGTAGTACAGATTATACCCATAGATCAATTTCAATAAGAAGGTAACTAGGAAAATGCATCTTTGATTTAAATTATTATGTGGTATGAACTCCACGGATAGGGCAATCTCCAGCAAAGGCCCACAGAAGAGTGGAGGAAATGATGGGGAGTGCTGATGAAGAACAGGTAAAGCACTAGCACTGGGAATGTGGAAACCCTGCTATGAAACCTGAATGAACCTAGCAGCCTATAGCTGAAGAAGGGGTACTGCTTGATGTGTCAGTATGGCATAGTCCCATATAACCCTATATATTTTTACCCACTGTCTAATGGAAAATTTCACATGGTAAAACCATGACTTTGCTGAACTCAAAGTTACACTGGAGTTGATATGAATGGGAACTACTGAAAAGAAATCCCAGATCCATCTTTACATAAATCCTCTAAGTTTGCTTCCTAAATATCAAACTTACCACTCTTTAATGATACCTTCAGAAATGGTGTTGGCAGCTGCTTGCAGCATATGAGATAGCACATGTTACGAGAGATAGTTCAGGCAAGTATTCATAGCTCGACTGTCGAATGCCATATGCCCTTTCTGGGCTAGGACTGTATTCTGCATCTAGACTTACACTGACCATGGGATGGCTAGAGGATATTTT